CCGTCGGTGCTCCTTGGGCTGGAGAAAACGCTGGACAGCGAGTCGTTTCGGGAGAGGGACACTCTGGGCGAACCGGTCAGAGCCGGCGACTGGGCCGAAATCGAACCGGTTTGGATCATTACAGCTTCCATAACTGCTTAATGAAGCTTTTGTTTTGCTTACTTTTCCAGTGTTGAGCAAAGTGAGAGTTTATAATTTCTGCTTTTGGGTGGAGGCCCGTGAAGGGATATATATAGTTAGTCTTGCGCCGTTGGATGCGCTGACGGAGTTGACTTGGGGTCCTACGAGATGAGGACACGTGTGGTGGTGCACGTGAGGGTGGCTAGTGAGTAGGCAACTCCGATGGAATAGGCGGGGAGAGCGTGATCGGGTAATAAACGAAACTAGGCGGTGTCAAGTGCTTAGTGCAGGTGTCGGGACAAATCTTGTGGGTCCCATTTGTACGGACTGTGTCTTAAACCATTTTTTTCTTGTCCAAACAGCTTACTCAAACGATGTGCCATGCTGAAAATCTAAGCAGATGAATCAAATCCATTACGTTATCAAATAATAAAATAATACTACAATTTAGTAATGTAGCAATTTGGTGTTTGTAGCAGTTTAAGAGTTAAAAATTGTTGGTTTATTTTCTTTTTGATTCTCAAGTTAATCACTATATTTACGTAATGCAATTGGTGAAACAAAATATATTTGACTCTCAATTTACTTACTTTCTTGCTACGATCGATTTGGTCTACAATTTAGGAATAGGATATTGAGATGAATCTGAAATTTTAGAACAAAGGATTCATGACGAGAGTTTTAAACGAAATTCTTTGATATTGGCTTGACTTGCATTCTTGAAATTCTTTGACTCAATGTTATGGTATCCATAGTTGGACATTTGTTTTCATTATTTAGGAATATGGAAAACATTGCTCAAAGTCTAAAAATATTTTCGAATAAATACTTTCTCAAAAAACCAAATGCTTAGTTGATAAAACAAGAAGTATACTAGTATTAGTGATTAATGTGTGTAGGGCACACTTTAGATTTTCTCCCTGGACCTTTGAAAACTCAGGACCGGCCCTACTTGCCTCAAATAAGAAAAATTCATCGATTTGCCATTTCTTTGAGCAGAGAGATTAGTTTGGAAGAAAAACAATGCTCTAATGTTTGGTCCTAGTCTTGAACCTGAGGCTCAAGCGGGCATCAAGTGTATTTTGTTAATTCTAGTGGTGCCTTTCCACGAGAACTATCTTCGGATTGCCAACTATGGTTGATGGAAACATAGGACGACATTTTTCAAGGCACAAGCATATGTTCCGAGCAACGTTACAAGGATGGAAGTGATAGGTACCATCCATTGCAATTTGCATATAATGAGATTTTGATTAAATAGTGTCATAATTTATACATACCTATACCACAAGCTGCTTATGTGCGAGGAACTTCAATCACTTAAAGCTAATTTCGGTAAACATATTTATATGAAAATGTTGAAGGGAGATTTGTACCTTAAACATTTTCGAATATTACGAATATAAGTATCACCAAGAACTAATTAATGCAAATTTACTGTGTATTGAGCGAAACAAAGTAAACCATCCATTGATTGATAATCGATGAAATCCCAATGGCAATGGGACAGAGACAGGAACCCCATCCCAGACTGTCCACCTCTATAATAAAAAGTAACTGAAATACCACGTTAGGAATGGATGAGGCCGCATACGGTTTGGCCGCATACGGCCGCATATGGTTTGGCATAGTTTCTGTGTTCCCATCCCCTGGGCCATGCTGTTTTAGTAAGAGACAAACCACTAAATTAAAAAGACACTTTCTCAAATTTATTAAAATTAAAAAGTTAAAAAAGCAACGGAATCTTTTTTTTATTTTTTTTATTTTATAATCTGTCTGAAAGATAGAATTTCATTATAAGTAAGCAAAAAATCGAGAGAAATACAGAGTCCATAATAACAAAGCATAGCGTACAACAAGACATAACAACGACACAGCTATATAAAAGGAGGACAACTAAAGAAGCAAAAAATAATTTTGTAAAATCTTGATAATGTATGTGCGAAAACCCCAATTTTTCATGCAATTTCGACTATCACTTATAAGCCTTGTATTAAAAACGCAAAAAAAAAAACGATGGGTTTGCTTCTCTAACCTGATACCGTAATTTGTTCGCAAGAAATAGGGATCCATCCCCCTGTGCCATTTATTTTTCTGTCTCCCTTGTTCTTTTCTTCCCCACTCGTTCATTTTTATTTTGGAAGTTTCACTAAAACACCCAAAATGAGGGTTAAAATTATAAAAAAACTCAAGCATTATTTAAACATATAAACACACCCAAAACTCATCATTACACACACTTAAAACTCATTTATAAACACACCCAAAAAGTTGACTTTGTGGTTGATTTTGGGTGTGTTTTTATATTTAAATAATGTTTGAGTTTTTTTATAAATACATGTCTATAATTGGGTTTATTTATAAATTTATATTTTATTTTTTGGATCAGAACCCACTCATTCCCGATACACTGCAACACTGCTTTTCCCTCTCGTACACATATCCAATGTAACTTCGGGGTAGGGCCTACCTGTTTCCCATTGTTTATACTCCATGTGGAGTTGTGGTCCCATGTGATATCATTTGATAATTTCCCATAGTTTGGTACAATACCTCGCGTTCTATATGGCAATTCCTAAGAACAATGATGATCCTTGCCAAAGCCGAATACTAAGAGCAACTCCAAAGATGTTGGCAAATGAAATAAGTAAAATTGTACTATAATAATTTAAGTGATATGTTGCCTACTCATTTGTCTCATAAAAAAAATTAGTCACTCCAAGGAACTAGGCAATGCAAGTCTATAAATTATTATTATATTATTTATTTTTATCTTTTATATTTATTATTATATTTATAAAAAAAAAAAGTTGTGAGAGAGTATATATAAGCAGAATCTGATATACCTCTTTACTTTAAAGCATGCAATATTATTTTATTGGGGAGAGTAGGTATATTTTGCCTACTTATTTGCCTCTTCTCTCGAAGCATGAAACTGCTAATGAGGCAAGACAAATGAGGTTTGCCTACTATTTTACCTCTTCCCTTGGAGATGCTCTAAAGACAGAGATAGCAATTCTAAATAGCAAACCCTTTCAGGTTAGTTCGTCAGGGCAATGAGCTCCTCCCCCTTATCCAAATTCAAATATCCCTCTCTATAAATTAGATTAATTTAGTGTATAATATAACTTTGTTAAAATAAAATAAAAAAGAAGCAAACCTTTGATAGGTCTGAAATAACATTTTGGTAGGTAAGGTTCATTATGTCATTCATAAAATTCACTTGTATTGTTGAGCTTTGTAATATCTAAGATTTAGAAAGTATTTATTTTTTAGAATGTAATTGAAAATGTAAAAGTAAACAATAAAAGTGTCTAATAAGTCATATACAACTTGAAAAGGACAACGAAGACAAACGGGCGACCGTATTTGGTAAAATACGCACAGAAAATGTCGGCTTGCCGTTGTGCAAATAGTTCATGTGGTTAACCACTATAGGTAAAACAGGCACGTTTGGGTCTACCAGTTTTTCCTACATGATATTTTTGACATTAAGATAACTTCATTCACATCATGTGATGTGAGTTGGAATTAAAACAAAACAAATGCACCTTATCTGTTATATCATCTAAGAAAAAGACAAGGAAGATTGGTCGACTTTTTAATGGTACATGTCAAAATCAATCTAATCTTCTTTTTCTCAAGTGGTTTATCTTTTCGTTTCTGCTTGAAAAAGTCTCCCAGATTATGATAAGCATCAATTAATCAAGCATTCTTTTTTAATTATGAGTGTCTTTTGTCTTCGACAATGCCAGATTATGATAGCCGGTATTTGCTCGTTCGTTGCCTTCAGCCAGGTCTTTGGCAACACATGATTTAATTATTTCAAGTGCTTATCTTATCATGCTAATATTTTAGATACGTCGGCAATCTATATCTAACCGGTAATTAATTTAGCAACTTAAACAAAAACTATTTAACCTAAATATACAGTTGATGTACACAGTTAACCCATTCAACCTAAATGGTTTAACAAACAGGTTATACGGATCATATCGTATTATATTTAGCATTTAATCATAGTGTAATGAACGGGATTTCGAACCTCTATATTTAGCATTAATGCATTTATACGCATTTGAAGGAATCTTAACCATTTGATTAATCTTATGACTAAGATTAAACCACATCAGCAAAATTGTATTGAGTCAATCACCCCCTATTATCAAGATCGTCAAGCAAGCATATACTTATGTATAATTTGAATATAGTGATTCTGGTGAATAGTGGTGGACAACGGCAAGTTGGCCACTGCTAATTGCACCCCCGACAATGAAGGTTTTGTAGGTTCTCCTAAGATATTATTTGTTTTTCTCCAAAGATTTGAATATAAACCAGCGGCATGTACACAATTTCCCCTCTAAGATGTGAGATTTGAAATTAATTATGTTTTAATCATGAAGGGCTGTTTCAGATAAATTCTTCTACGTACTCGAGGGAATCTTCTCAAGTCCAATATCCAATTGAAATATTAGTAAATTTAGGTTTTAGCAACAAAAAAAAATTTCACTTTTAGAAAAAGCCAAAGCTTTAAAAAAAAAAAAACAAAAAAACCTCTCAATTTTCAAATCAAAGACATGCAAATGTAAAATATTCTTTAGGAAATTCAAAAATAAATAAGAGCAATTTTGTCTATTTTGACTTCTTTTACAAAATTTCTCTCTTCTTTGTATTTTTTCGAAGTCTCCCTTGAATATTTAAGTTTTCACAAATGCTTCAACCCAACAGTGAAGATGACACTCAACATAGAACACAGGCAACATAGAAAAATATCAACTACGTCGTCGGAGCCTGTAGCTCTAGTTGTAGAGACCATTTACCTCCACACTCAGAAGAGTCGGCACCCGTTTCCCCTTCGATCTCTTTTACACCAAACAAAGTAAATAAAAACATTTCAAAAAAATATCCACTATAATACATTGATTTTTAGGGGTTGCCCACGATGTGTAAAACCAGCAGCACCTGGTAATCAGCCCCAAAAAGCTACGCTCAGAAATTCAAGAAATATCCATACTATCAATCAGGCTTCCGGCAAATCAGACTGACAGCTCTATGAGTACATGGATGTACCTGATATTTCAAGTATATGAGTTTTTCTCATATTAATTCTGCTCAATATATCAAGTCTTAACACTGCACATAGACATTTCACATCCGTATACAGTTCTTCATGATCATCAAAATTTAAATTTCAAGAGAATATACTACAGTTGATCAGAAAGATATCACTTTTGTAACATTGACTGTAACCTTATTTGTCAGCAGCATTTTTGTATCAAAATTGATTAAAATATGAATAAAAAATAAAAAATACTAAAAAATTAAAGTAAAACTCTCTCTCTCCCCCTCTCTCCCAATTTCTACTCCCTCCAAACTTGATTTTTCTTTTTCTTTTTTTATGTTGGTTTTTTATTTGATTTTCTTTTATTGTTATTTTAAAGATATGATTTTTTATTCATTTTTTTTGTTTTAATATAAAAATACCATTTTGCCCCCGCATTTTAACAGAAAAAGGTAAGAAAATTGATGGCAGGGCCATTTGTCCAAACAAAACTAAAGTTAAAGGACCACAAGAACCATTTTGGAAATTGATGTACTCAAATGCAAATTTGGTCTAAATTCAGGGACTAATAAAACGATTAAGCCTTACTTATATCAGTATGACAGTATCCATGTTGGCATGGTTATCGAATTAGTCAATAGCAGGCATTCGTTGTTAGAACTAAGAAGTTGTTAATGATTTGTCAGGCAGCTCGGAAGTTAACAGGTTAGGATGTAAGGCTGGCCATGCTAACCCTTATAACGTGAAAGGAATAACCTGTTTCAGTTCTTTGTTAAATACTCCATTTACATGTACTGCCATTGCCGGCCTTAAACTGGAAGCTTATCCTCATCTGTCAACTACTTAACTTCTAAAAGCTAATACATGACACTACCTAGCTTCACAATCATGCTAATAGGAATAATGAAGTCAACAATAAAGCTACACGTAAGGTTGCAGTACTTTATTGTTCAGATATTTAGAATGATACGATAAGAAAATATACAAAGTATATAGTATTGTTCAGATCTTATATTGTTCAATAATTCTCTAACCTCTAAAGACCAAGTCACTGATTCTTCTTTAGCTTGGGTGTGGAAGAAGATGATCTAAGATCTTGACCAGAACTTCTAATTATGAAAATAAGTGTTTCTACGAGCATGCTAACTACCAATCCAAGAATGCCTCCAGCAGCATTCTGAAACAAGAAAATAAGAGTGCCATTAACTTCTATAACACTAGAAAAAGTGAAAGACACAAAAGAACTTTTAGACAAATAAAAATCCAGCAATAAACCACCAAGGCTTTACCAAGAAACCAAAAAAGAAATTCACAAATAGAAAATGGTCTCTTGGAGACACATACCATCACGGGACTGTGGTTAAACAAGGCTCTGAATGCAGCATATCCTACCAAATAGCCGGTAAACATAGTCACCACGACATGTAAACCTGTAGAAGTTTTTGACTGATTATCATCGGAACATCCAATACATATTTTCTAAGAAACGATCTAAAATAAACACAAAATTTACAGAACATAAGAGAACAAAAAGGGAGAAACTAAAAGAGTATAAATCAAGCATTACTAGAGGGCAAGCAAAACAAATTTAAACCATAGTAATAGATATGAAACCACCCAACTCTATTTGAAAATAAGCGGAATAAATTTCAAAAGGGTTTAATTTAAATGCAAAGAGAGTTTGAAATATGCAAGCAAACTATATTAATAAATTCCCAAAGAAAAATGTTTCCAACGAAGCAAATCTTCTTGGCCAGGGAGCCTGCACTGCCTTCAATCCAGTTTCAAGTTTCAACTAAAGCATAAAGAAAATCTTCAACTCCCCCTTCTGATTTTGCAATATCTTCCACTGGGAATAAGATAATGGCAAGCAAAAATTAAACTGCATAGAAAGTAAAGGCCATTAAAATGTCTAGCTAATATACACAAAAGAAAAGTAAAACAAATTTGATTTCATCATACAAGTGCTAACTGATAAGAGTGACCACACTGCCAAAAAACACGAAACTTCCAGTCAACTTCTGCAACATAATTCCTTAAGCTTATGAAAACATCTAGATTTGCTAATAAGACAGAAAACTCGACAAATGCCAAATCCAACAACAAAAACACTAAGAACATCATACAACATTTTTTTCCCCGTACTTATGCATGCTTGGCATCATAAACATCACAAGTTTGGATACTGCAATTTGTTTGATCTTTGCATGAAAATCAAACAGACATCCTACCTTTGGTGCAATCAAGAGTCAAGACCAATGTTGACAAAAAAAAAAAAAAAAGAAAGAAAAAAAAGAAGAAAAAGAGTCAAGACCAATGAGCATCATTTACATGCAATCAATTACCATATGAAATTCAAACCGTCCTCACATTTTTTGCATACAAAACAACCATGCTCCCTTCACTCCAATTGTCATAATTCTAGAATTTCAGAACAACCAAAAAGTTGATCGAAATATGAAGCAACATTCTTATATCATGTCATATTCCAGTAAACCAACTAGTATCAACCATCTCGCTTCCAAACTGTTCATAGTTTGGCATCCATTCCCCTTAAATGCATTCACATAAAAATTGATTGCCATCAGTGGACCAATCAATACTACAAATTGAAACTCTTTTCAATATGTCCATTGAATTTAAAATGGAAAGGGGTATCAATGGCCACAAGTAATAGCATTCTGAACCAAGCAGTAAAATATCATGTAAGATATGTATAAATTCTTTAATCTTACCAAAGCCCAATTGATCCTTGTAAGAAGAGAAAGGCTCATTGGTCTCTTTCTTAGGTGTAATATCCTTCACAAGTTCTGCATATGCATTCCTCTCCAGAATTTCAGCCAGCTTCTGAAGTCTAGCCTTCAACTCCTCACTCTAAAACACAATAAGAACAATTAACTTTACATTTCATTTGTAATCCCCAGAAATTAGAGGCAAACAAGAAAAAGAAAAAAAGGTAATATGGTGTTTTGTGTCCTCACCTTTTCTCTGGGTTTGGGGCTGGTGAGGACGAACTCGGATCCGGAGAAGAGTTGGACCAACTGGGGCCTGGTGGAGGCATTGGACGCGAGCCAGAGAGCTCGGAGAGACTTGTACGGAACATTAGGTTTGGAGGAGAGATTGGAAGCGATTTGCTGGAGTTCCTGAGTGAGGTGTGGGTCTGTGGAGGCAGAGGTGAGGAATGAAAGGATGGGTTCGGTGGTGGAGACGACCAGTCCCGGTGGGTTTGTGTGGTCACTGCTCATTTTCCTGGGAATTTCTTTCCGTTTCTCGGGTTTTCCGGGAAAATTTTCCTAACGATATTGGTGGTTGAATTAGTTCCTCTCAAATCAAAGTTTGCCCATTTTCCATTTACCCATCTCTCCCTCTCACACTATTGCCACATGTCCACTTGCTTGACACAAATTAATCTCCACTTCATATACTGCGAATTCTAAATAATAAAAAGAAATAAAAACAGAAAAATAGATAATTAAAAAAACCAGCAAATAAAACCACAAGGGGAGAGAGAGTGCTACCTGACGAAGAAGGGGGCTAAAACAAAGCTTCCAATGGCTTCCCCCAGAGACTTCAAAAGTAGAGAAATTGAATCAAATGGTTGATTTATATTTTTCCAAACAGTGCTGCAGCTGCGGAAAATTAAACACGCAAAAAGGTGAGCAAAACCCAAATCAAATCTGAAATCAGCTTCAATCAATTCCAACCCAAAATCCCGAAGTTCCCAATCAAATAATATCCCAGTCGGTTTTTATTCTTTCCCCTGCGGAAAGAGAGAGAGAAGCGAGAAAGAGAGAGAGAAGGGCAGTCAAAACATACCACAGGCAGGGAAGCATCAAGCGCCAAAGTGAGATGAGAGAGGATCTGAATTCTGAAGCGCGCCCTTTGCTCATGCGATGAAGAAGACGAAGATAGTTAGAATTATGGGCCTGTTTGTCAGAGAAAATAGTGGGTTCAAGTTGAAAAGCATGGACCGGCCCAAAAATTTGACCTTTTTTATGGGTCGAAATGGACCCAAGATTTGACTACGGTTCTAATCCTACATCTAGGTGTTGGCGAGTCCTTACTTGGGGTCAGTTTGGCATTACTGTGTTGTGAAAATAATCGCTGTTAAATTTGCTATGAGAGAAATCAGCTGTGAGAAAAAATAATTTGACGTTTGGTAAACTTTTTGTTAAACAGACTGGGCTTCTTAAAATTTAAAAAAAAATCACTTATAACCCAAAATAAGCAATGCCAAATAGACAGTTAGTTAGAATTTTAGTTCCTTATTATGTTAGCATTTTAGTTATTTACCTATTTGTTTAGTCCAATTATAATTAAAATTTATTTTCTATTATAATTAAAATTTATTTCTTATTGTAATTTAGATATATTTTTTATTTTATTTAAAGTATAATATAAACAAATATGAGCATAATTGAATATTTACCGTACTTTGTTTGACACAGGTTTTACATTCCTGCCTAGACCAGGCCGTCGTTTAAATAACGGCAATCCCGTTTCTTATCTAACAAGCAAACGTGCCCTAGATATATACTACAAAGCTTTTGGGAAAGCTTCACACTTACCTCTCCAATGGCGACCGAAGCACCAGAGCAAGCCCCGCCAGCCGATGGAATCCAATCTCTTTCAATTTCCGAGCCTCCACCGTCCAGTTCCTCAAGTCCAACTATCCAGTAAGTTCCTCTATCTTTCCTTATCGTTTTTTTGTCGTTTCTAAATTTGTCCGTTGATCTGAACTTAATTTCAAACTTGTGTGGGTTTTGGTGAAGAATGAGTTTGGAGGAGAAGTACCAGATGGTGAGGAGCGTGGCAGAGGAATGTATTCATGAGGATGAGCTTCGGAATTTGCTGGCTCATAAGCCCGAACCCATCTGCTCTGATGGGTTTCAACCCTCCGGTAGAATGCATATTGCTCAGGTGTTTTTTCAAATTTTCTTTTACAATCATAAGAGTCATAACACATAATTGATGTTGATTGATCTGCAAATTTCAATAGTTGATTTTGAACAAGATATAATACTTTGTAGAGAAGGTACTCAAATTGAGATTTTGCAGTGTGTTATTCTCTGTACTGATTATTTGGATTGTAATGGACTTTCTTGTGTTTTGAAAGAACAATTGTAGTAAGAAATTTAAGGGCATGTTTTCTTTATATCATTGTTAATTTTGTGAGGTTCAAATGTGTTGTTGTGTAGGGAGTTATGAAGACGATAAATGTGAACAAGATGACCTCCGCTGGCTGCAGAGTGAAAATATGGATTGCAGATTGGTTTGCACAATTAGACAATAAGATGGGGGGTGATTTGAAAAAGATAGAGACTGTTGGGCGCTACATGATAGAGATATGGAAGGCTGCTGGGATGAATTTGGACAATGGCAAAGTTGAGTTTGTGTGGTCTTCAAAGGAGATTAATGCGAGAACACGAGTATTGGCCTCGTGTGATGGACATAGCTCGAAAGTATACAGTTAACAGGATGACTAGGTAGCTAGCCTATTATGATGCTTATTGTGCCTATTACATCTGTTGAATCTCGACTTATATATTTTTTTCCTTCTACATATCCAGGTGTGGTCAGATTATGGGTCGAAATGAGCCAGGTGACATAAATGCATCCCAAATTTTCTACCCATGCATGCAATGTGCAGATATATTCTTCCTTCAGGTGCTTGCTGTTTTAATGTTGGATATTTTATTAATGGGTTTTGTCTCCCATGTTGCCTTATGTTGTGACATAGTGTAGGCTTGGCTTCATCATTGCTAAATATTGCACTGATTAGTGAGGGAATGATGCTAGTTTTTATGTATACATGAAGTATATGATAGGTGCACTTAGGCCATGATGCATTTAATTCGAGCATTGTTCATCAACTTCTAATTTGATACATGTTTTATTTCTCATCAAAAGAAAAGAAAAAAAAATTTCGATGTTCAATTTCAATGAATATGTCATGGTGACTTGTGAAATGTTTTTCCTTTAATAGGCGGACATCTGTCAGATGGGAATGGATCAGCGTAAAGTAAATGTTCTTGCAAGAGAGTACTGTGATGACATCAAGAAGAAGAACAAGCCTGTTATCTTGTCACACCGTAATATTCTAATTCCGATTTATGTTGTTGCAATGCTATTGTTTTATGCTTTAACATGAGAGTACTTACACATGTAGTATTTGTTAATTTTTCTTAATGATGATTTGCAGACATGTTACCCGGTTTGAAGCAAGGGCAGGAGAAGATGTCTAAAAGTGATGTATCGTCCTCCATATTCATGGAAGATGAAGAGGTGCGTTGTTTTAAGCTACGGTTTAGCTTTCAATGTATGCTACCAAATGTTTATTCTATTTTTTGACATGTATCACTGAATCTCAGGCTGAAGTGAATTTGAAGATAAAGAAAGCTTACTGCCCTCCAAATGTTGTTGAAGGGAATCCATGTATGGAGTATGTGAAGTATCTCATCCTACCTTGGTTCAATGAGTTCATTGTAGAACGCTCTGAAAAGAACGGCGGAAATAAGTAAGGGACTTTCATTTAAAAATAATTTATTCGGAGAAGAAGAAGCACAGCTGATTATACTGGTAAAAATAATTTATTTAAAAAAATTTTGCTTGTTACCTAATTGAACCTCATGTTGGTTGTAATTGTTCCTTTTGCGCATTTCCCCCAATACAGGACTTTCAAAAGCTTTGAAGAATTGGCTGCTGATTATGAAAGTGGTGAGCTACATCCAGCTGACCTTAAATCAGCTTTATCAAAAGCATTGAACAAAATATTGGAGGTAGGCTTGTTTTTTATATGCCATGTTCTTCTCATTTTAAACAAAATACTGGAGGTAGGCTTAACTTTGTTTTTCCTGAATGCAGCTTGTACGCGCACACTTCAAGAATGACAAAACTGCCAAAAAGCTATTGCAAAGTGTCAATGTATTTTCTGGTTTTGCCTGTAGATAAAATTTTGTTTTCTTCATTACATATCTCAGAATTATTAGTTCAAAGTTGCCTTAGGTTATCAATTTATTATTTGGAGGAAAACTCAACCAAGCTTTTCTTTGGTTTTGTAGAACTATAGAGTCACCAGGTGATGAATGCAATGGAGCTAATGATATTGTAGGAAAACATTTTTTTTTTTGGCAGAAACATTGGATATCCTTAGTTGCTTTTCGATTCGATCTCTCTCATATACTAAACAATTCCCTTGAGGGATTTTTATATACATGAAATTGTTGCGGTTCCATCATGTTCTCATATGTGCTGTTTCATAAAAATTCAGAGGAAGCATTTCTCTTTGACCATTCTGCTTTTCTTTGGTGAAATGATTTGAACGATGGAGTTTGAAATGGAATAGTTTGTGTCAAGATGGCTTTTAAAATCGTATATTGCTAAAGTGGTATGGACTAAATAAGCCCTAGACCTAGATATGGCATAGCTTTTGTGTTGTGAACCCTTTGATAGCTAGATAGCCACCTTATAGATGGGACAGAGAAATTGCATTCAAATTCGTAATCTTTTAACCTACCTTCTATTCATTTATTTTTGGAAGTTTTTAGCAAGGAGTCCAATGAACAACTCTTTTTTTAACAATCAAAGAGGGCAAAAATGGAGATAGTAAAATGATGTCAACCCTATTTATAAATCATGATCAAAATTATCAAGTTACTGCAAATTACAATAGACGTAGTTGGAGAAAAAGTAGGGTGACTGTGAGAGGAAAAGTTTGTGGTAAATGGTTACTTAGTGACCATATTAGAGTCAAACAATATGGATAGAATATTTTTCAGATTATATTTCATTCTCCAAAAGAATGTATTTATAGTACAAGGATGTAACCCTAGTAGGATCAAACTAGGAAACAAGATAAAAAAACTAATTACACAATATCTGTACAAAAAGGAAAGAAATATAATAATGATAAACTAGGAAATAAATATTCTAATTAAGCTAGGATCTCGCTAACACTCCCCCTCAAGTTAGAGCAAAGATGTCACGCATGCCCAACTTGTCAAGCGAGTTTAGAAAGACCGTAGTAGACACAGCTTTCATAAGAACATCTGCCAGTTGATACTTGGATGATATAAACGGAAAAGAAATAATTTCAGCATCTCACTTCTCTTTAACAAAATGTCGATCAACCTCCACGTGCTTTGTATGATCATGTTGTACAGGGTTATATGCAATTGCAATTGCAGCTTTATTATCACAATACAAATCCATGGGTTTCTGGGGTCCAAACCCAAAATCTCTCAACAATCTTCTCAACCATAGTAACTCGCACATACCTTGAGTCATCCCACAGTACTCGGCCTCGACACTAGACCTAGACACCACTTTTTGCTTTTTACTCCTCCAAGTAACAAGATTACCACCAACAAATGTGAAATACCCAGACATAGAACATCTATCAGTGACTGAACCAGCCCAATCAGCATCCGTATACCTTTCCACATCTGTATGATCATACTTGCAAAACATTAACCCCTTTTCAGGAGTTACTTTCAGATACCTCAAGATGCGCATCATAGCACCCATATGATCTTCACTCGGAGAATGCATAAACTAACTCACTACACTCACTGCATATGCAATATCAGGATATGTATAAGATAAATAAAACAATTTCCCAACAAGCCGTTGATAACGCTCTTTATTTGTAGAGACTTGATCAGGATACAACCCTAACTTATGATTCTGTTCACTAGGGGTATCAATTGGTTTACAATCTAATATTCTAGTCTCTGCAAGTAAATCCAAAATATATTTTCTTTGAGACAGAAAGATACCATGTTTAGATATGGCAACTTCAATCCCAAGAAAGTACTTCCAATCACCTAATGACTTCATCTCAAACTCGGAAGACAGATACTTCTGAAGATTTTGCATTTCTGCCTGATCATCTCCAGTCATAATTATATCATCAACATAAATAATTAAAGATGTCAATTTACCTTTATGACGCTTTAGAAATAAAGTATGGTCTGAGTTACTCTGCACATACCCAAAATCTTCAAACACATCATTCTCCAATCCAAGACTCTCCAATTCACTCCCCCTCTCCCCTTGAAT